ACCTTGGGCCTCCGGCGGCCGATCGGGACGATGCGAGCACCCCGCGGACGCTCTCGGCGAGGCGCAACTGCTGGAGAACATCCCTGGGCCGGAATCGGGGGCGCGCAAACATGGATTCGCGATCCATGGACTTGGCGCGCGGTCGCCAAATCCATGGACCGGAGGAGGTGCCCTCCCCAAAGTGCGGCCGGTGCCGCCTCGCTCGGCGGCGGAAGTCCGCGATTTCCCATGGAAAGGGGCCCCGCCGCTAATCCACGCCCCCTTGGTCCATGTTTGCGGTCGCCTGATGGAGGACCGCCGAGAGCCAACGGCAACGCCCGAAACCCTCAGATCTCGAACCCCTTTCGCCCCCCCCCCTTCCAACCCGACCCCCGAGGTGGAGCACGACCTCGGGGCTCAAGCTGGGCCGCCGGGGCCCCGCCACAACAATAGTGGCCCCTGAGCACACCCCAACACTATATATATATATATGTGTATGTATGCAGACACACATTTATATCTGTACTATTCGGAAGAGCCCATTTCTATCTATACTATTCGGAAAAGCCCTGGGGGTTGGGTTGTTGTGTACTATACATGGCCCCGGGCGGTGGAATCTGACTGTGGCGGGGAAGCTGTACCTTGAAGACTGAGATCCGACGCTGCGAGGAACTGCAGCGCAGCGATAACTCAGGACTGGAACCCTAAACCCCGACCTCCTGCGGCACTTTTCGAGCTGGATCGGCGAACACGTCCGGTGTGGAACAAACGCAGCGCCCGCTTAGATGAATACTGCTTTCGTAGCTCGCCACGATATTTAAACTAGGTCTTAGGGCTAGAAGCTCTATGAGCATATGATAGTCAATCCTCAATTGGGTTATGACATGGTATTCACATGGATTAGCCGCCAACTCGCCAGCGGGCTTTGACTTAGCTTATACATGTTTAGGCAAAGTCATGCTGGTTCATGTTAAGTCATGTCGTACTCATGGGCACCATGCCGTCGCAAAACCATCAGTGCCACGAGTGACGTGTATGTCGCGATGTTGCAGCTGCTATTGGCGCTGCAGCTCCGCGTTTTCAGCAGTTCCAGCTGCTGCGGCACTCTTTTCGTTTTTTGATTCGTTTTGAAAGCCGCGTCTGAAGACCGAGCCCAGGCGGGTGCACTACCACCAACATGCCATACGATGTACGAACGCAACCTAGGCGCCGCATCCCACTTCACCTTGTCCCCGTCCCCCGCTTGGCTTTCTCAACCCGCCTGTGTTGTTGGGCCCCCGCTTTGAATCCGCCGCGCTGCGCGTTCACTCCCCCCCTCGACGCCTCCCCTTATTCCCCTCCACCTGCCTCTTCTCCCCCACATGTCTATTTCGGCACAGTCCTCACAAACTTTGATACGGCCTCAATCGGCAAGCTCGCATAGCGTTACCATGAAAATTTCGGCACAATCCTCACGCGGGTCGTGCCCCACAGGGGGCTCCACATGAATCCATAATGGGCAAGTTCGCGTACCCCCCCCCGCCCATGCCCATCTCGGCACGCCATTCAAGCAGATGGTGCCCCACAGGGAGCTCCACCGACGATCTCGGTGAGCAAGTTTGCATTGCGTCCTCCCGCCCGTTTTGGTACAACCTTTAAGCGCATCGTGCCCCACAAGGAGCTCTACATACGGCCCAAAGTGGGCGAAGACGCATGGCACTCCCCCGTTTACTTCGACACACGCACACACGCCCCGCGCAAACCGTGTCCCACAAGGAGATCCATCTGCTGGCCAGACGGGCACGTTCGCATAGCCCCCTCCTCCCATTTTGGCATTCCCTTTCACATGGATCGTGCCCAACAGGGAGACTCCACCCACTGCGGCCCCCGTCGGCAAGTTCGCTTGCTGCCATGCACATGTCGGCATACACATACACACGCACACACACACACACATACTTGACGGATTGTGGCCCACAGGGCGCTCCACATACCCCCGCAGGGCGCTCCACACACGACCCAAGTGGACAAGGTACGTTCGCATCACATCCCCTCGCCCATGTCAGTAACCCATCACATGGGGCATGCCTCACATGAAGTTCCACAGATTGCCACAAAAGCGCTCCCCCTTCCCCCCTCATTTCGGCACGCCGTCACGCAGATCGTGCCCACAAGAAAACCCACAGGTGGACAAGCTCACATCACGTCTCCTCGACCGTTTCGGCACACCCGTGGATCGTGCCCCACATAAAGTTCCACTTCCGGGCCCAATGGGGTGACCAAGTTCGCATGGTGTCCCCCCGTCCGTTTCGGCACAACCATTACAGGAATCGTGCACCGCAGGGAGCTCCACATACACGTCTCCAGCGGACACGTTTGCGCAGTGTCTCCCCGCCCGATTCGGCACACCCCATCGCGCGCAACATGCTCCGCATCGACCGACCTCAGCGCGCTGCTGCCCGCCTTTTCCGCAGCCCCACACAGCCGAACTGCCCAGCGGCACGAGGTACAATGAGGACAGGGCGCCGCCCGGCGCTACACGCAACTGCATATGAACTGGACCCTTCGCCGGGCTAATGCTCGGCCGCCGCACAAGCAACGTATGGCGCAACCGATCAGAGGTAGCGTGTTTTGTGTGTGTATGGGCAACCGGTGGCTCAACCTATTGCGCAGCCAATAGACAGTCGGCTTAGATTCGGCAGCGGGGGGTGCAACCTATGGCGACACCCACGGCGCAGTCCATGGATGAGACAACCCATGGCGCAACATACTACGCAAACCATGGATGGCGCAACCGGTGGGGCAACCCATGGATGGCACGACCAATGGCGCAACCCAAGTCTCAACGCATGATGCCACACGCGTGTGGCGCAGCCTGTAGTGCATGCAGTGGACGTCGCAAACCGAATCGCAACACACTGATGCTGTTGCTGATGCTGATGCTGATGATCCTGCTGATGATGCTGTGGATGATGATTGTGATGCCCGTAGAATTTCGGTGCAACGTCACGACTGTGATGATGACTATGATAATGCTGCAGATGATGATTATGAAGGTGAAAATGAAAATGAAGCAGATGAAGATGAATATGAACATGCTGCTGAACATGATTCTGTGATTCTGTATTACTGACTACGATGATGACGACGGCGTCGGCGACGGCAACAGTGACAGAGACGGCGACGACGACGATGATGACAATGATGACGATGCCGATGAGATGATGATGATGATGATGATGATGATGATGATGTTGATGATGGCGATGATGATGATGATGATGATGATGATGATGATGATGATGATGATGATGATGATGATGATGGTGATGCTGGTGATGCTGATGGTGCTGATGCTGGCGCTGATGATGCTGATGACAATGATGACGATGATTCCGACGACGACGACGACGATGATGATGATGATGTTGTTGATGATGGTTGTGGTGGTGGCGGTGGTGATGGTGGAGGGGTGCAGCAGGAGGAGGAGCACAGCAGGAAGAGGATGAGGATGAGGATTATGATGAGGATGAGGATGAGGATGAGGATGATGATGATGATGATGATGATGATGATGATGATGATGATGATGATTATGATTATGATTCTGATGATGATGATGATGAGGATGATGATGATGATGTTGATGCTGCTGCTGCTGATGATGCCGATGCTGATTATGCTGATGACGCTGATGATGCTGCTACTGCTGATGATGATGATGATCATAATTATGATGATGATGGTGATGATGATGATGATGATATGCTGCTGCTGATGATGATGATGCCGATGATGATGCTGATGACGATGATGATGCTGCTGATGATGATTATGATGATGGTGATGAAGCTGATGATGCTGATGATGGTTATGGTGGTCGTGATGGTGGGGAGGTGCAGGAGGATGAGGATGATGATGATGATGAGGAGGAGGAGGAGGAGGAGCACAGCAGGAGGATGAGGATGAGGATGAGGATAAGGATGAGGATGAGGCTGAGGATGATTATTATGATGATGATGATGCTGATGATACAGTTGTTGATGATGCTGCTGCTGATGATGGTGATGACGACGCTGACGACGATGATCATGCTGATGATGATGCTGATGATGGTGATGAGGAGGAGCAAGATCACCGCATGAGCGGTGAATGAAACGTGTAATGGCCCGACCACAGGGCGCGGCGAAATACAACGGGAGCCCTTGGATCAGTTCAGAGCTGCCACCGCTGCATTCAGGATCCTCAGAACCCGCTCGAAGCCCGGCCGCTGGGCGGGATTGTGCGCCCAGCAGCCCATCATGAGCTGTGCCAAGAACCTGCGGCATCAGCAATCACTCTCTCTCGTCCCCCTCCTCCTCCACAACCCTTCCTCCTCCTCCTCCTCCTACTCCTCCTCCTCCACCACCTTTTCTTCTCCTCCTCCTCCTCCTCCTCCTCCTCCTCCTCTTCCCCTCATCTTCCGCCTCTTCCTCCTCCTTTCCCCCCCTGTCCCTTTCTTCCTCCTTGTCCTCCCTCTCCTCCTCCGCATCTCTCCCCAGCCCGTCGTGGGCACGTGAGGGGCCAGCTGAACTCCCTCCTCCCCGAGCAGTGCGGTGAGGACTGATCCCGAGCGGGTGGTCCCCCGCAGTCACTGGAGGTCCCCGGAGGCCCTCAGGAGCCTCCAGGGGCCCTCCAAGGGCCCGACAATCTCCATGAAGGGCCCTCTGCTGTGTTCCTACTCGCTCACACGTGTCACGTGTGCGGAGCTACACCGTCAGTGCCGCGCTTCCTCGTGGCTTTGCCGTGCTCCTGCTCGCGCCGCGCACCGCCACAGGCGGCGGAGAGCTTGAGAGATCCGCATGGCAAAAAGGCCCGGCCATCTCCAAGAAGGCCCGGAAGTCTCGCCCTTTCGACCCTCGAGGGTCGAGGGCAAAGCTTGGCGCGGGCGGGTGGCTGCCCCCGCCCCTCCCCGCTGCGGTGGCTGCCCGGCCTCCCAGAGCAATCCACTCTAAGCTGATCTCGAGCGGGTGGTTGCTCCGAGGATGGGGAGGCAGATGGTTTTGCCGCTGCACCCTCTGCCCCCAGTCATGGGAGTCCCTGCTGCAGCTGCGGAGACCGCGAGCTGCAGGCACCAGCGAGGACTGGTGCATGCAGCCTGCAGGGCGGACGCTGCAGGCTGGCCAAACGAGCGCGCCGCACGGTGCCAAAAAGCATGGCAACGTAGGCGCTCACACGATCCCTGGGCCCTTCCAGCAGCGCGGGCAGGAGGAACTCCAGGGCGGGGACGATGAAGGCCACCACGACGAGCCCCGAACACGTCGCAGGAGAAGCCGAGGATGTTACTTCGCCTTCACGTTGCGTTTGGAACGAGCGTCCAGCCGACTACCCTTGAAACCAACTCTCTGCGCGCTGGAGCCGTACTCACAATCGTCCACAACCTCGCGGAAAATACCCTGGGCGAAAACGTAAGGAGTGGCAGCAGCGGTAGGACCGTCACCAACGCAAGGTGCAGCATCATCAACATCTTCACGAACTGGAGCTTCGCGCAGCCAAGCACGGGCGACGAGATCGCGAGCAAACTACTGCGAAGGACTCGAGACCCGGGCGATTCCATCCACATGGCCATGACGATGCGCAGCAGCAGGCGCCAGCTTGTCCAGGGGCTCGTCGGTCTGAGCCTTCGAAAGCAGGCCGCCCACCTCCGCGTTCCATTCGGATTCGGTGAGCATGAGATGATCCTCGCACGAACTGGCAGGGAGGACGGACGAGTTCGGCTTGACCTCGTCCATCTGCTCGGTGAGCTGGGCCTCGGACTCGCGCGGCAACGCGGCGCCACCACCCTCAGAGCCATCCGCGGCAGGGGGGTGGACCCTGCGCGCGAGAAGCTTGACAGCAAGCACCAATACTTCCCCCTCCCGCGCCTCCGAAGGCGGAGCGGGGGCCCCCCGTGCCGCTGAGCCAGAAAATACTCCCCAGGCGGCGGTGGGAGACTGCAAAACAATCGCTGATGTCGTCGGGAGCTCGGTCCAGCGGCAGGAAGAATACAATGCACAGCCGCGCGTGCAGTTGCTCCCGACTATGGAGGCGGGGGCGCGCGGGACGAACTCGGGAGCCTCGGCACGCACACGGGCGGCCTGGCGGGAAGGGGAGCGCCTCCTCTCCTCCAGCCTGGGCCCATACTGCGCCCGACGGAGTTGGGTGGCCGAAGCGTGCTCCACATCGATGTCCTCCGCGCCGGCGTGCAGCGCGACGTTGCGGCGGAGCACGTCGAGCCACTGGGGCTCCTCGCCGCGGACCAGGGCCACGACAGCAAGCACCACCGCCCTGAGCCGAGCCCAAACCTCCGAGTTCCCCACGATGAGCGCGAGCGCCTCCTCAGCCAGGTGCGCCTGCGCGGCGAGCTGGTCCAACTTGCCGGAGAGTCGCTGGACGAGACGGTCAGCAGAAACACGAGCCCGCGACCTCCTTGAAGCACGTGATGATGAAAGGGCGCCACCGGCTGGGGCGCCTCCCGCAGTCACCTCCACGTCGGAGACCTCCCCGCTTCTCACACCGCGAGACATGGTGCCTAGCGAGCTTGAGCAATAGGGCTGTCATCCGCTGGTGGATGGCATGAGCCAAAATGGCTACGGACGTGGGGAGGAGGATGGGGAGGGGGAGGAGGAGAAGGAGGAGGAGAAGGAGGAGGAGGAGGAGGAGGGGGAGGTATACTCACGATTATTTGACAAGCGAGCAGCAGTGGGCCCTGATCTTCGCAAGAGTGACTGTGAGCGAAGGATGGAGCGAATCCCTACTCTCAGAGGAAAATGCGCATGCCATGTTCTGTGCACTGGTGCCGCAGCTAGAGTCCTGCATGGGGCCAGCCTGGCCCCCGCTGCCCCTGAAACACCAGGTAGCCACAAGGAGCCAACATAACTATTCATTAGCAGTCTCCTTCGCGATATATGATAGACGTTTTCTGTTGCACGGTGGCGGACACCGTTGAGACTTTTGTAGAAACCGCACGAGGCTGAATGCTCCGTGGTGAGCTGTGCATCTGCACGAGGAGGAGGGGGAGCTGACGCAGATGAAACGGTGTGTGACGCAGCCAGAGCAGCCGGCACAGGAGACAACCAGAGGGGGGGAAGCGCGGGTGGTTCAGATGGCGTCGATGCTCTCTGGGTCTGATGCCGATGAACGCGCGGCCTGCTCTCCTTCTTCGGACCCAGTCCTCGGAGATCTCCCAGCACTCCGAAAGGCAGGTCTTGACACGCAGGTCGGATACTCTCTTGTACCCGAAGGAACATCACCTCATGATAAGAAGCTGCCTCGCTGCACCTGGTTCCACACAGCACTGTCATCTGTCATCTGGCAGATTCAACATCTCCAGATCGTCCTCATCGTGGGTCTCGAGAAACGTAGGAAGTTATCTCTCCCTGTGCGTTGCTGGGGTACGGCCGTACATCCTCTTGATGTCCGGGACCAGGCAGAGGCAGTCGATGAGGATTTTGCGCAAGCCAGGGCCTCGGGCTGTTAGGGTGATGCGAGATGGCCTGTGTTGAATGCTTTATCCCGGCGGCAGAACAGCACGAGCTCGCACTGCTGAGACACCGGGTATCCGTCGTAATCGCGCCACGCCTTTTGTAATTCGGTGTGGTTCTGCGCTCCGACTGCGTCCCCGTATGCCAGGAGCCCTCTGATCAGGCCGCCGACGGCCCAGATATGCGGCGGCCCGAGATTGTGTGCCCTTTCCCCTTTGCCTCTGTCTGTGCTGCGTGGGCGACGGTTTGCTCGCTGCTTGTCGTGATGAGTGTGCAACCTGATTGGGCGATGATCCTGCCCAAGACTGCTCCTGCGATGCATCTTTTCTGCTGGCTGAGCTCCAAGACTTGCTTCATCATGAGGCAGAAGGCTTCCTGGGGCTCGCTGACGCTCTGGGCCACTGGCTGCTGATGTCTTTGATGCTCTTCCGTCTGCTCCTGCCTTCTTGCTCGAATCGGGTTAGGATGGGGCCTCTGCGGCCTCCAGCACTGCCGACATGAAGTCGGGGACAAAATTTGGTGAAATGCTGCTCTCGAAGATGCCGGCATAAGAATCTGCTCGATGAGAAGACTGCAGAGTCGGCTTCAGAGCATACCGGATGTCTCCATTCCCTGAAGTTCTGAAGTACCCAAGACATGTGAGATCCCCATGGGAAACACTTATCGTACGATAGGACTGCTACTGTGCTTGCGTGCATTCTGTACGCCGGTGAATACACTCATACAATTACGGCATTGGTTCGTTACCACTTCACTGCGTCATATGTACCTCGTTCGTGTCCATTCGATCTGGTGTGCTATTCGAGCCCTGTAGGGATTAAACCTGCGGCCGCATTGGGCACGATGCACGTCCAATCTTGTACATGTGATTCTGTGTTCGCTTTCAGCCTCGGCGCCGTGTAGATCAGAAAATATAAGACACCATGCGTCCTAACGTGTGAAGGCGGAGGCTCTCTGTCAAGATCGAAGGGCCCATTCTCAAGATCTCGTGGGCGCATTTGAGTCGAGGTCAAATACTAACGTCTTCCAAGAAACCTGCCTCCATCCATATCTCGAAGCAACTCTCGGTTGCGCCGATCCCCTGGTAGAGGTGCATGCTGAAGTCGTTCACTTTTGCCCAAGGGTTGGCGTCGTCACTGGCCTGTCCACTCTGCTGCAGTGTGGGGGTCTCGCCTGAGACATGACCGAGAGATGGCCGCGATGCTCTATCAATGGGCGTAACGATGTCGCAGCATGCTTTGCAACCACTTGCTTCTGCGTGCCACAAGCTCCCCACGAGCAGGGAGGATGCGCCATATGTACAGCACATGAGAACTCAGAAGCGACCGAGAATGCAAAACAACGTAGGAAACGGCGGCAGCTCTCATCTTAAGTACATCGCACCGCATGGATCAATTCGTCGGTATCCGTGGGGCCGCAATGCGAAAGTTTCCAACCATGTAATGTCACTCTCTACGATATTGTCCAGAATCAAATCACGCTTAATGCGGTGAAGACCACGCTCGTGCCCCAAAAGACCTACGATGGACCAACCAGCGCGCATAGCTCGAATGCGAAAATCCACCTCTGTCACGTTGGGGCCGCGCGCGTGGTGCCTTGTTCCGTATTGCGGTGAGATATGGGGAGATAAAGAATAAAGATGCCACTGAGTACACACGTTGATGCTTTCATCAACGACTAACATGATTATACATGTTTCAGCGCTACTGCTACTGCAAGGTGTTCTTTTCCAGCCGAAATGTATAACCGTGTGGTGTACCAAATCCTCGGAGTGGAAATCGCGACCCTCATGCTGGCGCCAGGCATCAACAAGATGTTTGAAACCAGCTGGTCGGCCGTCTCCCTCGTTCGACTCGCCGTGGCAAGAGACATTGAATTGTGCAGAACAACGCGACAACTCCTTGCATAGGCTCGCGACATGCACCGGCGGCCGAACATGGTAAACAAGAGGTGCCAGCCGCGAGGAAGGGATGCATGTCGGAAGATCGCCGCCCCTGAAGAGATCATCTCGAGAAGAAGTGGCGGCTAGGAGGAGGATGAGGAGGCGGAGTAGGAGGAGGGGGGAGATGAGGAGGAAGAGGAGGAAGAAGGGGAGGATGGGGAGGAGGAGGACGAGAAGGATGAGGAGGAAGCCACCTCCCCGCTGCGGTGACTGCCCGACACAGCCTCTTTCCTCTCCGCTCCCCCCTCCCTTTGCCGAGCTGGGCTCCTCCTTCCCTCGCCCCACTCCGCCTCCTTCGCCTCCGCCTCCTCCTTCCCTCCATCCTTCTCCTCCCTCCCTCCCTCCATCCTTCCCTCCTCCTCATCCTCCTCCTGCTCCTCCTCCCCCTCCCTCCTTCAGTTGCAGCAGCGGCGGAATCTCGCACGTGGTAAATGTAATTGCAGCAGAGGCGGAGTATTGCCGACGGTAATGTGGGAAGGTTGCCTACCTCTCTAAGCTGGTCGGACGGGCTGGGAACCTGTATAACCGGGCCGTCCTCGCGGTGAGGTCACGGGGTCATGAGGTCTTGGGGCTCTCGCGCGCTCAGGCTCAATCGATGAGAGCTCAGGCTGCCACGTGCTCTGGGTAGTGGACCCCTGGGGCCTGCACTGTTACCGTTCTGGGGGCCAAGGGTGATATCTGGTCTAGGATTCGCTATATTCCATGGAAAGCTTTCGTCGGGGCTGTCCAGGATGAGTTAGAGCATACATCTAGAATGCGATGTTCTAAAGTTTTGGGCGCTATCAAGGCCAAGCTCGGGCGTAACAAGTTCAGCTTGCAAGTTTTGTCAGGACCGATGTCGGCAACGATCGCCGTGATTCTCGATTTAGGATGGCAATCCGCTTCCCCAATGTTTCGGCGCACTGGACAAAATGTTGTGAGAATTACTGATAGCGATTCCCTCTTACAAGTGTGGTCCGCTTCCCTCTCCACCTGTTCTGCCTTGTCTTGGGATAGTGCTGCTTCGCGCTGCTGAGGAACAGGACTGGCAAGGGGAATTGGACTTACCGTGGCCAATCCTTGCAACATGTACTCGTGACGGTGAACACGAGGCTGCTGGAGTTCTTCAACAATCCAAAGGTCTGGTACGTACAGCTGGCAATTTTTCTGCCACCAGTGGCCGCTCCAGTAACTGTTGCAAGTAGGTGCTGCGCCTCAGCGGAGACGTCCTTGCACTTGCAGTGGCAATCCGAATGTAATCCACACGTGGTCGATCCCACCCCTTGCTGAGCGCGCGGTCGCTGAGCCTGAAAATCTTAGCTGTGGGCGTCGGGGTCTTCCCCTCTTGGACACCGTTTCGCGGCGGCAGCCCCGGCGACACGCCATGCCTTACAAGGAGATGGCGTATCACTCTGCTCCGCGGGGCGGGAGGCTCGGGAAAGGGTCGAGACGTTGACGCTTGGGGACTGGGGCGTGGACGGCGTGCCGCGCCGAGGCGCGACGCGCCAATCGCAAGTTCCTGACCGTAGGGACTGGAGGCTTCGGAGGTGCGGCTGGGTCTATCGTCCACTGGGGTGCTCATGAGGGAGTTGACGCAGTGCTGTGTGGAACGGTCCAGTGCACTTGGCAATCTTCCCCTGCTGCCGAGCTCTTCGCCCTCATCCAAGTGGCGTGCATTGCGACCGCCTGCTCGTGGTCACACGAACCCGCATGAGCCTGCGGGCCAAACGAGCATCGAGAATGTTGGATCTTTGGGCTGTTTACCATCGGGTCTTGAAACAACGAGGGGGCTCACTCAACCTGATTTGGACCAAGGGACGCCACACCCAGGCCCAGGCCGAAAACATGTATCTGACTGGTGCAGAAGTGAGCCTTACCATTGCGGCGGATCGTTTCGCCTACTGGGCGGCCGAGAACGGTCAGCTCAGTGATGCAGACGTTGCCGCCCCGATGCGAGCAGATGAACTCGCTAGTATTGTTTGGAAGCGTTTTCCAACTGTGCAGAGGGCGGTGCTCTTTCGCCTCAGGGGGGAGCGAGGTAGACTCCGCGAGCCAAGACGACCTCGCGGATGCGTGACCTCTCAGGCAGAACGATTGCGCCGTCTCCGCGATGCTGGACACAACCCTACTGTGAAGACGCCCGTTTTGCGGCGTGAGCAGTGTGGTCTCAGTTTTAGCCTGAAGGGCCATTGGGCAGAGCTTTGGACG